AGCAGTGTAAGAGCATCTATAAAGTTATAAAAAACAAAATTGCATTATTTGTTAGAATAACAGTTCAGAGGAATTCATAGTGAAAGGAAAAAGACAATTCCAGACCTCTACCAATCACCAGCTCTTGTGTATAAATATTGATGGCTTCTCTCTTCCCAGCATTCTTTGCTTCTCTCTGCCAATCCCACTTTAACAACCAATGCAGCTAAATTTTGGATTGTTTTACTGCAGAATTCCAACTACTTTGTTGACATGGCCAGACTTGCTTTCTTCAGACCAGTTGCTGTTTTTAAATCTTCATGTACAAATCTAACTTGGCCATTGTTGGGCTTAGTCTAATCTCCTGAGGTTAAAGTAACATCATGCAAAATGAACCACAAGCTCAGGAAAATCAAAAATTGACATCTTTTTATGTTCTTAGGTTATGAAGAAGTGGTGCGGATTCCAAAAGGATCAGTTCATATCCTTATTCAGGAGCTCAATGTTTCTCTCAACTATCTGGGTGAGATTCTGTTTTTTTTTACACAACAGAGGGTGCAGATGAGCTACCCACTGTCCATCTTGTTTCAGAAAAGACTAAAGCTTTAGTTCTTAAAATACTAACTTTTTACATACTGTCTCTATTTCAAGATGAGCAAGTTTAAGAACATACTTTTGTTCTGCTTCACAGACAAAATTTTGATTCTCTTAGCCATATATAAATAAGCATGCTAACTATTATCCTAAAAAGTTTAACCAAGCCAAAAAAGAACAGCTGCGTCCCTCATCCTGGAGAGACCCAATCAGGTATGATTTATAGGTCATGCTAAATCATTTATTTTCTAAATATTGGGATCACTTGTACTTCAATTAAGTAAGTTGTTTATTCAATTAAGACAAATCTGTTCATTAAGGGATGAAGAGAATCCAGGTTTTGTTCCATACAGGGTCTAAATTATTCGTTTAAAAAAACACCTTCTTAATTGATCACAATAAAATAGTTTGAAGTCTTAAACAAGGACATCAGGGGACCAGGGCCCCTTTGTTTGTGTTTCTTTAATATAAAATCAATTTTTTTCCAGGATTCTAACCTTGTCAGAGCAGATTGTTAGAACATTGTTGCAGCATGTGTCTACAGTTTATTTCCTCATCAAGCAGTGATGCAGTAAATGGGTATTAAAATGCTGATAGTGTCTTGTCCCCCTTTATGAAACGGGTCATGAAAGGGGTTACAGTTCCCTTCAATCAGGGAACATTCGTTCTGATGCAATGTGGGCTTGTGATGGGCCTCAGGTTTTTAATGTGGCTATATTTTCTCTATACAGACGCTTTAAAATCATAGAGATCAGCACTCAATATGCTTTTGAATTAAATGACACTGAATTATTAAGAGAGGAACAGACACAAAGAGACAAGCGAGGGGAAAAAACAATATAACCTCCCCCAGTGCAGCAGAGGGCCAATGTAGAAAATACCCAGGTGACCACTTTTCATTGTTTATGTGACGGTGGTGTCTGACACAAGTCCTGCATTTGGCACTGTGAGACAGTTTTGTGGCAGTTCCAATCTATTTTAAATTGCTCTAGGAATTATTTCCCCCCAGAGATCTCAGATCTGTTATGGTGACTGACAAAATAAATCATAATTAGGTGTCAGGCCTGCCCCTGCGGCAAAGCTTCTGTGCTGTGTGGTTGTCGGAAACCAGATTGGAAGGGTCTGAAGAGATTATGTACAATGAGATCGTTATTTAGCGCTAAATAATTACACCAGCATGTCAGAGCCCTGGCCATTACAGAGCTGTCTTCAAATGTTGTGCACCACCTGCTGATACAGGCGTGAATGGAAGTTGCTCACAGGTGGTACAGATTTCCTGTCGGAACACATTTCCATGGTAACCGGCTCTGATTGACAGCTGGGAGGTCGGCTACCGTGACATGCCGCGGGTGCGAGTCGGGCATTCAGAATGTGAAGTAATTGCCTTGGTAACCAGTGCATGTGTGGAGATTGGTTTTTCAGTGTTAGTAATGATTAGAATTGACAACCAAGACTGATGTTTTTAAGTAAAAAAAAATGGCCGGTCAGGAGCTTATTCACTGTATCTGTTAGGTAAGGCTGAACTACTCTGAATACAGGGTGATCAGTGTAACTTTATAGGTGTGATCCCAGTGAACATTAGTTTACAGTGGTCTGTAGAGGGGGGTTGTTCAGGCTGGATTTCAACCTCACACATTGCCTGCATGCATTAAACAGCCACCAAATGTAAACTAGTGCTCTGGTAGAACTCAGTATTGGGTATTTAGGGTGCTCAATGCACACACTACCAGTTTTATTCGGAATAGCTTCCCTGCGCAGGTGTGCAGTACTGCTGGCCTGCAGGCACACGAACCGATAGGAGCCTCAGCCTGCATAGTAGCTTGCCCTTCCCATTGCAGTGCTCAAGAACAAGGGGGACCAGTATTTCCTCAACGGGAAGCTGACCATTGACACCCCGCGGACGTTCGACGTCGCTGGGACCACCTTCCACTACCGCCGCCCTGCGGACGAGCCCGAGACCCTGGAGGCGCTGGGTCCCACCAACACCTCCCTCGTCGTCATGGTAATGGCCCCCCTCCCGCCGACACCTCCCTCATTGCCGTGGTAACAGACGGAGCCCGCCAGGCCTGACTCTCGGGTGAAACCTCTCCCGGTTCTGGAAACACAGATGTCTTTTTTTTACCAGTGTGTGCAGTAGCACCTGTAAGGGGTTTCGACCATGTGAGCCAATGAAAAATCCTTCGCAAACCTTGTTTTCCTCGTTTTAGAAAATACTGTTATTCGTGACTATTAACAGGGGGCTACTTTGTTGTTGTTGTTGGCTGGTGCAACCATTTTATCTGCATTTCCAGCTAACCTGAAAAGAAGCAAGTTCCACTTCCACTCCCAGTATGTTTTCAAACCACAGGAGAGGATGATTCGGGTCTCTTTCCAGCGTACAGCAGAGTAGTAAGTCGGGTCAGAGCCCTGCTTTGTGTTAAAAGAGATGCCATGAGGTTCGTGTCTCTGTGCAGGTTCTGGTCCGAGAGGAGAACCCGGGAATCCGGTACCGCTTCAACCCCCCGGTGAGCCGCGACGC